TTTTCTCTTGCCCCCGGGCGGGGTTGGATATTTTTTAGTTTGCTATGGCTTCGTTCCCAAGTGGAGGGAAATCATGGCGCTGTTTAATCCATGCGCCTCCTTTCTTCTTTCGACACTTACACACCACACCAGTTTGGTAGGGGCAAGCGGATTATAGCACATTCCACCATTATTAAGTCACACTGTGATACACAGTCAAAGCATGTCAGTACTGTATGTAGATGAGTAAGGTAAGCAGACGATCGCAGCGACATTGGCGGCTGCAAAGCACGGAGGAGGTCGAAGCCCTGGGCATGAGCATGAGCATGGACTTGTTTCCGGTCCTCTTCACTTACATCCAACAAGACCCTACGGGATGCATGCTGCAATTTGTCCTCGTATCCGATGTCACTCAGTTCTCGACAACCCGAACAACAGCATTCTTCTATTCGCTTCACCATCTGAGAAGCGAGTGTTGTAATGCGAATTTCACAAATATGATGCTTCAGTGACCTGCCTGGCTGTCCTGAAATTATCCTACACTGGCTTTACCTCACACAGCTCCGTGTGATTCTGAGCAACCCAAGATTATACTCGTATCCTCACTCACTAACAATGTATGGAACTTCTCGTCACAGATCTCAAGAATTTGTCATGAGCTCCTACCATGAGCATTGTGCTTGTGACGAATCTACTCCTTCGGGTTTACAAAGACGAACTAGCGAACTAAACTCTCATTATGTCTGTTACGGGAGGCTTGGTCTGCAAGGACTCTGGCAGACCAGACTTTATTCTTCAGAGTCACCATGCAATTACAATTGCAACGATGTACAGTCTGTAAGGTCGGTCAGCTTAAAGCTTCCAAGTTTCCAGGCTTCCATTTCTGCTCGTTCCTTTTCCTTCGTCACTCGGTGCGGTTCCCCCGTCAATATCGGTATGAACGTCCTCGGTGCCGTAATTGCAGTTCAGACCCTCATTGCCTTTGCATGGCTGGACAGCGGCACGAATCTCATGGAGTGAGTGGTTCCAGAGGCAAGGCCCACCGCCCCGCCGCCATTGGGTACGGCAGCATGGCAGGGAAGTCCGTGTGGTGGCCAAAGTAAGGTCGGCAATCCCCTAACCGGGAAATGGAGCAGCAGTCGGAACGAAGTCGAAGCTTCAGAGTCAGAGCAGTGCAGTGACTGCGCACAGCTTGTTGCTGATTTTGAGCACTGTTGGCACTAAAGAAGACATCGTTTTCCAGGGAGTGGGAGTGGGAGAAAGAATGGAGTAGATCGGTGGAGATTGAGCATTCGATGTGTTCTACTTTGTGATGGTTTGTGAGCGACTACATTGATTGATTGGAACTGAGCCCAATTTCACAGCATTCTCGTGATTGTTCTGGACGACACCCAAACCGAGAGAGAGAGAGGGTCAAAGACCACCAGGATCGGGATCTTCCAAGGCATGAGTTCCATCGTACTTTTGACCAATAAAGACGATCGGTGGCCATTAATGAAGCGCAGTAGGTAGCTTTCTGCCCTTTGACCTTTCTCTTTGAGACCTGGGAAGTGTCAGGCAACTCTCCGGAATCATCACAGCCAGAGCACAAAATTTGGGAAATCATTCTCCGGAATGATCTCCTCAATCGTGTGCACCGGCTGTGCAATTTCTCGAAAAGCTTCATGCAACTCAACCGGTGGATTGGGGCTTTAGAGGACATGCCGAGATTTCTTGACGACTTTCGGGAAAGATGGAACTTCTGGGCCCCTATTTGTCGCTGTCTATTCTTCTTGCATGCACACCTCTGAGCGAGTGCACAGACCAAAGGATGACAAACATGCTTGTCTTTGTTTCAAACCATGATCCGAGATTGCTCCACTCACGAGACCACGAGCAGCAGCTCCACATCGCCACGGGAAGGCACTTACAATTTTGATCTCGAGAAAACTCAACCTGAAGTCCAATCCAATCGCTAGATCTGACAACAGCACGTGAAGTCTTGCGCCAATGTAATCTTCTCGGATCATAGTTGAGTGAGACCTGTGAGTGAAGTTCATATCTAGCATATGACTGAGACAAGAACTCTATGGTGCTTTTCGAGTCATCACATATCATCGTCTTCAATCTCATGGGCAATTTCAATTGTGTCATGGCATGGACCATGGAGCATGGTCGTAGCGAGGGTTTAGCTGAACATATTTGCGCAAACGAGGTGATAAAGCAAAATTAAGATGACCTTGGAATACTCAAGTCAGAAAGCGTGTTATTTCCCCTTCAGATCGAATGTTCGTCCCTCCTGTCAGAACATTCTATAATGACTCCAATTCCAACTCCATGCACAAACGACATCATTTGCTCATTTGCCCATTTGCCCGAGTACCGTTTGACCTTCTGTCTGTACGTACCCGGTGGCTGCTCACTCCGAGTGCCATCGCTATAAATGCCGCTTCTGATATTACTGACAGATTGAAGCTTCTTCTGATTCAGGCAAAGATACTCATCGATGAGAGCAAGAAACAATGGAACCGAACCAGCCATGGAATCGACGGAGCATCCTTGTTTTCTTGTCCTCGTGTCCATCAAATATTCCCCGGCTCGAAACTGTGACAGTCTGGGAAGTTGAGTACCGATGCAACTGATCCTATGTTATCATATACATGCGGAAGTGTTTTGTCTCTATAGTGGAGGAAAAGCGAAAGAAAGATATAATGGACCATGCAAATTCCTGCTATCGATCCATTGAATTATTGAAACTATCACGGACACTGATCCAGTCAGTGATTTAACGAGATCTTGCGTGGGCTGGACTCCATGGAAGCCTCTGCAGGTCAGGATGCAAATCTAGCTCAGTATATGCTCTCGGACGAGACATGAAAATAAATCACAAACAAGAAGTCTGCACTCTGAGATATGCAGGAATAAGTTTTCATCAAACTCAGATAGATGCCAGTGACTTGGAAACTGTGGACTGTTGTCTAGTTCCAGATTGATGTGAACCTGTGTCGAAGATGAAACTTGTCAGATTCTTAAGCTGTTCTTCTCTGATCACTGGAATATTCACCAAGGATCACAGCTGCAACTGCACATGATACTCAGCAGAGTGAGATAGATTTGTCTTCACTGCACTGATCTAAAGGCTTGCCAAAGTAGCAGAGCACCTCGAGTCGACGAGGTTCTTCGCGAGAGCTGAGCCCCAATCGGGTTATGGGGTACAGGTGCTTCTTTCTATCACTATCTCCTCGGCCGTTCATATGGTCACTCTGGTGCTTCCGTCAAGTACATCCGCACGATATAAGTGATTTAATTCAAAACATCCCGTACTTTGTTGGCAGTAGCAAGCTGAATTTGCTCATCACATTCCTGCAGCAATGCTTGTCCTACGACATCGAAAGGTACACCAGCGTAGGTAGGGATTGTCTCTTTTGGCTACCGTGTGACAGTGCGAACAGCCATGCAGCGGAAGCTGTAAATTCTGGCATGGCAGGAATCGGAGGTGTGATGCGGTCTGTGTAGATAGTCCTCAGCTGCCACGTGCGTAAGAAACGCTTGGCCGTATGCATTTCGTTCATTCACCTCGAGATGGAAGGGCAGGTACGCATGCATGTCTTTGAAGCGACTGAGATGAGAGAGGGCGACAAAGTGGAGGGATGAAGATATCAATTTAGTGCAGGCTTCTTCTATTCTGAGACAGATCCTTACTCCTTCACCGAGAACTTCAACCGCGGTAACTCATCGCTGTTCTTTCATTATCGTTCAGCACGATTACGAGCAACTGAGTTCGTCCCACATCCACCCGCCAGACCTACCCTAGGTAGTCTGAGAACACAGGCTGTTTAGTACAGCTGCCAATTTACCTGTTGCTGCTTTACAATAACTCTCCATAAAACTGTGAAACCATGGAAGTTGATTTTAGGAAGTACGTTATTTCCGTATCCCTTCTTCTCTCGTGTAACTAACAAGAGTTATCCCCATTCGAGAATCATAAATCATACAAACCGGTGCAAGTTAATTGTGTTTAAGTGTGCCATGTGAAGATGCGAGTTTCTTACCTCGACATGCGCGTTGCATAGAGTTATAATACGCACTGCATGCGAAGCTTCACTATCTCTTCGCGATTGTGAGGTAGAAATGTGAGGTTCAACATCGAAGGTAGCCTCTCCATGTGTTCCATGAATATTGATAAAGGGTAGTCTGCCACTGTGCGGGCTGTGAGCAAAAAGGGTGCACCAAACCACGAATCTCTCTTTGTCATGTGCACCATTCTGGACTGTGCACTCAAACATTCTTAGCAGGTTCAGGTTCAGAAAATGAAATTCAATCACGAAGAGGTTAATAATTCCTGATTACGTGCAGTGAACTCTTGATTTGCTACATTAGTTCCACCACATGGCACACATAACCACAATAAACTTGCACGCGATCTGAGATTCATGATTCTCGAATATACCTCCTGTAATCATCTTCTATGGTTTCATATTCATTATGATACACAACATGGGCATGGACACAACAGGTGCTTGATGCAGAGACCGGGACAGCATACAAATTGCTTCAAATGGAGAATCAAAAAGTATATCCTCTTTCGTGAGGAGTAGTTTGAGCAGTATGGACACGGGTGGTGATAACAAGATTGACCATGTAGTGAGGGCTTTGAATCCAGAATGGGGAGAGCAATGGGCTAACGGCGCATGCTGACCGCAAACTCGTCAACGGTGTATGGAGTGTGGCAGGATGTGGGACGATGATCATTGTTATATCCTGGACCAGGCAGATACATGTCTGACAGATGTATTTGCCTGGTGCAGCATTCAACACCCACAAGAGAAGTTCTGTCGCGCCTTGAAGAGTGACACAGACAGTTCGCTGATCTTTTGCAAAATCTAACCGAATTTTCTCCTCAAGCAAAAACTCGTGGGATGTTCTGAATAGAATCTCTTTATCTTAAAACGATCTCGAACTCGGTATAGATAGAGATATGTACAATAATAAAAGCAAAAGGTAACCCTCAACGTATGAGAAAAGATGATGGCGAGGGTATGTCAGAAACTCCCTGTCTATCCGTTCACATGCATCAGTGCAAACGGTGACGATAAAGTGATAAGATGGCGTCAATCTTCGGACAGTGGGAGAACAGTGACGTGATCAAAGATTCACACATCGCACCTTTTTACTTCAATCGGAGGTTCTAAGACTCACATGTCTTGGCTCATACACTCTGCCCTATACAAAATCGAATTTCTACGCAAGAAGCAAAATTTGATATGGTTTTAACCATACTTTTCCCAGCTTAGTGGCTCACCGACCACAAGACCGACTCCAATCTCATCATCTTGACTACCGATACCTGGATATGAACGTCCTACTGTTCGCTGAAGCTAGTTGTAAGGGTGGTGTGGTTTTCGTCAAATGCGAATTCTTCACTATCATAGAGATTCAGTCAAATCACGATAATGGAAGCGTCCCAGAAGTGACAGCGTTGATTAATCTATTTAGATTGGGAAGAGTATGTCGAGGTCCTACAGAATCAACTCCCAAACGGTTTAGCATCTGTTCTAAATCCTGCATGGCAAATAATAAAGGTTATCAGGTAAGCAGCCTCAGCAGCAGGATGAACGCAACCCTCAGACGGCAATCAATTCACAAGTGAATGCACACTGAATCGTATCCACGCAACCCTCAGACGGTAATCAATTCACAAGTGAATGCACACTGAATCGTATCCACGAAAGAATGAGACGGAATCGGTTACAGGGCCAACCTTGTTCAGAAGGAACACGGCGTAGGCTGATCTTGTCAGCTCCTGATTGTCCGAAAAGAGTGGAAACTCAACTCCGATTTTGGATGACCCTGCCGGTACGGCGATGGCTCCCGATTCCACAATCGCAGGCTCTGCTGCAGGAGAATAGTCCCGGATGTAGGTGCGAGATGCTCCCAAACGCAAAGGATACCGAAGTGGCACGTCCAAGTATGACGCCATTAGATATACGACCTGTGCACGTGAACGGGGGTTTCAAACCTCGAGGGTAGAAATGGGCACCGTAATAGAGAGGCTGAAAGTACAACATGTCATCCTAACTAGCTTTATACTGAGAAGCAGCAGTTCTTACGTGTGCCACATAGCCCAGAGCCGTCGCTGAAGTTTCGTAGTCATTTTTCTCATTGAAGAGTCCCGGCTGCTTTTTGACAGGGACAACGAGCTGCAAACCAGCAATGGCGATCGACGTTTCTTCCACGCCGTTTGTGGGCACTTCTCCAGATGCAGGGCCAGAACAAGGATAATCCAAATTCTCCTTAACTTCGGATGCTGCTGATGGAGGATTGGATGGGCCTGATTAACAAGAGGCATGCAAAGTGATAAGACAACTGAACTCTTGTCTCGGCGACATAAGGAAGGCCAGCACCAGACTTGCTGATCAAGACCCCCGGTACAGCGGATTACATTGAGACTGTAATTCTGTCAAATGATTAATTACCATAAGAAAACAAAAACTATACGAGGATCACTCAGTACATAGCGGCACCTCGAGAGACACTGGGTGCATCGAGTTTTCAAGCGACTTCAAGGAGCAGAAAAAATATATTATTGTAGTAAGAAAGAACCTGATGGTTGAGAGTTGGCTATTGCCTGATGATTCTGCTTATTGTATGATGGAGGTCCGTGATGAGTGCATGTAGCAAGGGGATAAAGTGAAGCCACTTGACCAACCATCTGCCGCCGCCTTGCGTCCAGCTGCTTTCGTAACATAGTTAGCCGACCATGTCCTCCGTCTCCATTGAGTAACCTATCAGCCTCCTGCAGATGTCCAAAATCAATCTGGGCCCTAGAGTAATCTCATGCAGAACGATTTTAGGGCATTCTCATAAACTGGCGAGAAATGGCCAGGATCCAAACAGATGTGCAGAAGGTCCATAAAGCAATTGCTTCCACCTGTAGTCGACTCTGAGCACCAGCTAGAGCTTTTGCAGACTGATGCAATGTTTGTACAGAGGGAAGCAGTTTCTTCTTCGTTAAATCCAGCTGCTCCGAGGACTCCAGTAAAGTAGCCGTCGCACTTTCCAGAACTTTCTTCTTCTTTTGAAATCTTGCTTTCATACTTTCAAGACAATCTACACGCTCTATAGACTTGGAGCAATTCTGCAGATTGCAAAACACCAAATTAGTGAGCAGAATCTTGACAATATGAAATTTCCTTTAACCAATCAAAATCATTTCAATTGCCTTCCCAGTATCAGTTGTTAAAGGATAAGAACACATCAACTTAAGGAAAGCACGGGTTTTGCAAGCCATGATGAATCTCTGTACATGGTGTGCCCTAGTTCTAGAACTGGCAGGTAGGAAGACACAAAGCTCAGGCTGTGAAAGCAGGTACTAGACTTTCGCACAAGAAAGTCAATGGATTTGTTGAAATTTTGAAAGTTCAGAAGCTTTCATTTGTTGATTTTGCAAAAGGTTGCAAAACGGCCACAACTTTGACAAAGACACCATCTTTGACACCCCATCTGGACTTTACAAATCGTGCGACGCTCAAGAAATCGGGCAAGGGCATTCATGATTATTTCTGGGTCTTTGTCCCATATACAATCTACTCTCTGCATAAATTGACACTGGCCTCGGCAGAAAATTCAGCAGTGTGAATTTAGATACACCTACAGAACGATCGGAAGAGGGATTGACGCTCCTTCTGTCTTTGCCAAGTAAGGTCTCGGGGCAGCTAGCAAATGTCATGCATAGAGACTCAATACAAACAGGTGCCTGTCGATTTGATGAAACTGTGGAAGTTTCGACCTATATACATACCTTCACAAAGAACCAGCGTCAAACAATCTCTGATAAAACAGGGGAATTCGTGATCGGAGGAAGGCATTACTTGTAAGAGAGCCTCGAGTTTCTCGGACAGAGCTGCTTTCTTGGCCTTCAACTGATTAAGCTTGAGAGCAACACCGCCCAGTTCGTAAAAGACATCGTGGAATTTCGCCCAGTCCACAACTTTCACTTCCTTTTCTTCTTCGTTGTCGCTTAAAGTACTGTTGCTGGTGCTCGTCCCTTCGGGCTCCTGAGAACCCATACCTATCGATCGTCAGGGCTCCAGGCTTCATATCTTTCGAACCTCTACAGTACCGCGATTCTCATGACTGCAATCACACGGCCATCCGCATCCCAGCTTCAATTGAGCCCACCGGTGTAAGCTCGACTCGTGCAACTTCTCACCTGTGATCAACACTCACCCTCAAATTAGAAACAAGATAATCTCAGTAAGCATTAAGCCCCGGGGGTCCAATTCGAGAGATTGCGTCAAGCATGAAAAGGAGCGGACCCAGCAATCCACCCCAATTTCGCAGAGACTCGATCACTAACCGATCCCTTCTGCATGCACTCACCACCTTACCTCGAAAGGCTGTTAATCGGTTGATTCATCGTCACCATCACGAGGTCCACAAAATGCAGCACTTGCTCCTGCTCCTGCTGGTACTTCTTCTGCTGGCATGTACGTCAACCGTCGGCAAGTGCCACCACGACCTCGCCGCATTCAATCAGCCACTCCTTCGCGTCGTCCTTCTCTTCTTGCTTACAACTCATCGACCTTCCGGCGCCAGCCTATCACGAAGTGATCGTTGTCAAGGTGCAGCAGAATGTGGCACGGAATGTAGCCTGGAGACGTGTTGGCAAGGCGACTCCACTCTACGACCGATCCGCCAGGCTTAAAACGCTCGGCCTCCTCCTCCTCCGAGCCCCTGGCACTGCAACACCGAAAATGAAGCGGGACGCATTTCCAGCTTCTAACGCTTTCCGTCACAATACTACAGCAATCTTTTCCATTTCCATTTCTGCACTAATTCTAGGGAATTTCATTTTTCTTGCATTCTTTTCATCCGATGCCAAGGATTACATTGCCTTCTTGGAAAATAGCTCTAAGAACGCATCTCCGTCCCGCCTTTTCCTCACAGTTCACTCGTCGGCCCTACCAAAAGCAGCCATCTACTCCAATCAAGTCTTCCATTCCTTTGGGTTGACACATAAAAGTCACGTCCTTCACACATTCTTCCTTTCTTTCCGTTCACTGACGATAGAACACTAAAGGTGGATGGCTTTGGTGTTTAGGGCTCCATAGCCACCAATATTATTATGGCGCCAATATCAAATGGGACTTCCAATGGAGAGGAAGATTGGACGGAAACTTGGGGGCCAATCGCCGAACCCGACAGCAAAAAGATATCAGAGTGTTATGAAGAGAAGGAGAGCAGGCGGAGGCACTTTGTTGCATTCTAGCAATATGAATCGAGCGTGCCAAGTGCCTCCAACTTGTTACACTTGTTGGTACCGTACACCGAGTTGAATATTCTTGAGAAATGTTTTGAGTCGTGGATCAGAAGTGGCAACTTCTTTCGTACATCAAGAAGGGTCTTGGGTTTCCTGCCGCCCTTTTCGGAAGGAAGGCCTTTGTGGACGATCCAAGGTTCGCACAAGATCTGCCGCTTTAGAGTATGACAAGTGGCCGACACCATGGGCAAGCATTTCATCTATTCCATCACTATGATACACTTCGCTTGAGGTCTCACTAGAGCAACTTCTTCGACATACGATCATAGATAGTGCGAGGAGAAATGAGGGTTTGTTTGAGACGCCATGGATTCATCTCACCATCTCGAGCAATGGAAGGATATTTTGACTCGCGCTTGCGAATTGGAGGCGGAGAGAATGCGATTGCGAGGGGAAGAGTAACCCAATAAATGCGCACTAATCGACAGAGGACTGGTGCCGAAATATATTTGAGGTTGAGCGAAGGGTCAAGTCCAAAGGCTCAAAGGCTTTTTCCGAACAAACCGACCTACGAGGGCCAAAAGTGCACAACCGACACCTGCGAATGAATGAGCTGCGATCCGCATTTCTGGTGACAACAGTCCAGTAGCAGTGGGAAGACTAGACTCCCCAGGAAGACGGAAACAGAGAGATAGCGAAGCTGAGCTGCAGGCAAATCTTGCGCTTGCATCTCTTAGAGGCTCCCTCCCCTGCGCCCAGCATTTCGGGAGGGAGGTCCAGAGTCTCTCATCTTTGACGGATTCAATGTAACTCAGTTTGGCTTGATTTGGCTTCCTCGACTAAGGAGCACGGTTTTTTCCGTGAGCTTGTCCTTCTTTCATTGTCTGCGACCATGGCAATTGCAGCTACCAGCTGCACCAGATTTGGTCTTTTGCCTGTGAATGCAAAATCTACGGAGCCATTTCGTAGTTCGGGTTGTATTAATCCTCTTCCGCCCTCCTCTCGTTCAGCCGACGTCGAACTCCTCCCGAATCAAGCCGCCGGCCTAAAACACCACGATTCTTGCACGATTCTTCTCAGGAGCTCTGAACTCTGTGGAGGAAGAATTTCTTATCCGCAGACCTCCTATCGCCTACGTACTCATTTGCGCTCACCTATTACATGCCATCTCGGAAGACATTCATCTTCGTCGAGGAGAGTTTCTCATGGGTTGGGTGCGGTTGAGTGTCAATGGCAATTTTTACGCACGGCGATGGAGATCCGTCCGAGGACGGACAGGGGTGCGGCTATGGTTTGCAGAGGAGCCGCAGCAGCCGCCGTTGCAGAGATTGCCACTCTGAAACCGTTCTTAGATAAGCTCGTGTTGTTTGGGACGGTTTTGTACTACTACATTACAGGTGTTTCTGCTGTTCCTCGTCTTCCCGAACTTGCCTCCGCAGGCAGAAGGATTTCCTCAGCCCCAAAACTCGCTGCACCGAGTCAAAAGTAAGTTGTAGTATTGGACTCTCATGTGCAATATCTGTGATGAAAGCTGCTCGCAGAATCTTGTCGAAGCAACCACGATTCCTCGTTGTTGACGTTTAGACACGACATAATTGTCATGCTGTGATTTTTTGGCGTTCCAACTTTCGCTCGTTTCAGAACCTCCTCCCGGAGAAATTCTGCCTCAGTGAATGTGCAGTCCAAATCCCGCTTCTGAAGTCAGTCTACCTCAGTCATCATCCTTAGGTGCAATCTAGTCGTCTTCAAGCTGTAAAGTAGATTTTCCTCATTTTAGTCTTGGCTGGAAATTCATCGCGCGAGTGGAGTTGATGCTAGGCCTGTGAACAAGAAACCCGCACAGCGGCAAAGGAAAGCTCGCCAACAGGTCTCCAGCGCTGAGACCTGGCACGCTTTGGACGCAAAGCTTTTCAGGGCACTGTCGCTTGATGAAAGTGAAAGCGTTGAAGTCGAAGAACAGCATTCTCCAAATCCCGTGCTGAGCTTGCAGGCCTTTGCGAGAGGTCCCAGAGAGTATCTACTCTATACGACTCTGCAAAATCTTCGGAAAGAGGCAGGCATTGACTCCACATTTGGCTCATGTTCCATTTCTTTCGATTTCCTGTCCTTCGAGTCGTGTGATTCATATCTCAGGCTGGCAATCATGTATCAACTGATGTTGGAACAAACTTGGAAGACTCAGGCATGTTCAGGGTTCAGTGTATTAGTTTCATAACAAGAGATAAATTGTCAACCCAGTTAACCAGATCCCTTAGTCCGGATTAACCATGTCCGAGAACCACCGACTTATCTCGAACTTGGAAATAGGCTTCTGGCCGGTTGAATCTACACTCTTCAGATTTACATATAAATTCCAACTAGGAGTGGATGAGGACTGTGAATTTTCTGGTTGTCGAACGCCTGTAGTTGGTTTAGATAAATGTTACCAATTCTGTTTGTGCAGCAAGTAGGAACGTGCTCGGTGGGTCGTATAGCGAGTCGCTGAAACTACCAATCCCAAAAATTCTCAACTATCTATGTTGCTATTTCAGGTGGACAGTATTACTGAAGCTGACCAAGAACTCGGTCTGTCCCAATGGCGCGATCTTTCACTGAGTGTCCTCTGCCGTGCTGTTCTTCCTGTTTGCACAAATTGGGTTTCACAGGATTTGACTATGATGAACTCAGATTTAGGCAGTGGAGTATCAGCTGCTGGACACTCTATAGCTAGTGAAAAGATGTCGTTAACTCAAACACGTGTGCTGGAGAGCATGACGGACTTTCTGAGAAATACGGAGTCGATGCAGACCTATTTAACGAAGAGTGGGAAAGCAGATCTGTATGCTGATCTGATCTTCTTCTTACGTTTTGGGTCAATCAGGTATGTAAATTTCCCAGGACAATAGTTCTGGTTGGAGAGTTGAAGTACCTTCTTTCTTGGGTGTCAAGTTTTTTGGCACGGCTCTAAAACGTTTCCTTCGGGATTGTCCATGTTTTCCAGGACGGGAGGATGCTGTGATTACAGGAGTTTCAGTAGATTTGCAGGAAAAGCCCTGGAGGATATGGTAGTTGTAGTTGCTGAAGTAGTGGCTACACTTTTTCTTGATAGCTGTTCCTCCGTAGCAAGTTTGAGCCCTCAAAGCGAGACATGGCAAGCTTTTCTACTACCGTCAATTCTGTCGACAAGATCTTTGGAACGATTTAGAAACGAGGTATGACAATCCGATCTACTTCACTTTCGTACATCATGATACATGCAGTTGTCTGTAGGCTGTGACTGAATAATATTCACAAGTACACTTCAATGACAATGGTCAATCTCGATGTATCGAGCTTGTTTTTGCACGAAAAAATTAGTTTACTGCTCAAAGAGAGTAAGGAAGAAGAGCGTTTTTGTACTCTGTGCTTTTGTTCCTGTGATTGCTGATCACATTCTCTTTATTCTGTTTGCTCTGCAGGTGGCATTGAATGGATGGTTGAATTTGAACTTCACATCCGTTGCAGCGATGTTTGAAGACCGGTTCGATTTATGGACATTACAAAGACGGCCAATTGCGTCTGTTGACAAGAAGCAGGTCAAGGATACGAGTCCTGGTAATGGCGAGAAGGAAATCAAGAGAGCTGGTCTAAGACTCACACGTCTTCAACTTCCCGCGAGGAGGAGCGATGAACTGAAGGCACTAACTGGATGGTAAATGATTCCTACCCTCTCTAGGTTGAAGGGGAAGTGCATTGCGAAAATTACTTGCCTGGAATCAGTTTTCAGTTATTTAGTTATGCCCTGTACAAAAGTTCAACTGCACTGGCTCCTGTCGGTAAATTACTAGTGGAAACTCGCAATGTGAGATTTGTGAGAAGTGCCACTCTGCCTACCTCTTCCTAATATGATGTTCACTATGCAGGCGGTATTACTACAGCCTGTATCTGGAGTTCTCTGATGTGGTTGGCCCTATACTGGGGATGCTCTTCACGAGGCTTGGGGAGGCTGTATCGTTTTTGCTTGTACGATTAATTGGTCGCTCGCTGGGCCTTGTTTATCAAGGGATTCGGCAAAGTGTAAGATGGTCCCCGAAGTAGGCGGAAATCAAATAGCTAAATAAGGAAATGGAGAATTTTGTACTACGTAGTTATATTCACAGCACGGAGATCGCATAGTCGCTATGCAGTAATAGGGAGAATGCATTGTTTTGGTTACTCGCAAAGAATGATGCTCTGTGAAGAGATTACCCTGTTGATTATGTCTGATTGTCCATGGAGGACTCGTGCAGAGAGATTGTAGATATTGCGCAGGTTGAGATTTAGCAGCAACAGATGCGCGACGTGTAGAGATTGATATTTGAGCCACACAAGCACATCTGACGTTTTCTTTGCAACGGTGGTCAGAGTTATTATCAGCATTGAGTGAGTCGGAACTGTAAAGACTGGATGTCCCTCTCTAGTGCCTTGCTTGGTACACGCCTAACGAGATGCCGTAAATATTCTACATGGTGCCCTGGACTACAACATGGATATGAACTAGGCATTTGGATATTTGGCTCATATCCACGAGAAGTCTCCAAAGCAATCCAAACAGTTTTCAACAAGCTCAAATGAGCTGGCGATAATTATTTTGGTATTGCCTACTTTATCCTCACGTATGTTATATTATGTACTGTCGTGTTATTGAAAACACAACATCAGAAGATTCTAACACGACTCACATAAACATGATCTCCTATATAATTGTGGCGGCACAAATGACAGCCTCAACTTGGACATTATTTTGCACTTCTGGAAGCCATAGTAAGAGTGTACCAAGCTCTGCCTTTTGCGCCGATTGCTGCCTCGTTGAAATTTGCATAGAGTCCTAATCTGAGATACATCCTCGTACATACGCAAAACTTGATCATGTGGTGTTATTTATACCGACCTTTACTGTTACCCTTTGGTTTCAGCACTGCACCACGTGAAGGGAGGACATAGGAACAGTATATGTTCATCTCCTTTGGTCCCTTCAACTCTGTAGAGTTTATATTTTAAAACTCTTTTCTTCTCTCCTTCTCAAATCAGTGGATGTTGAATCACAATTACTAACCAGGAAGTGACAAAGTCGATTTTCCGGAGAAAGAAGGGACTCTTATCCGACAACATCCAAACCGACAAACATCACACCACCAAATCATCACTACTGTAAAGCTCTTCATGAAAAACATAGCGGTGTATACATTTGTAAAGCTCGGCATAATTGTTGGGTATACTCTTTCATGTGCAATGAGGTGGACACGTCTCCATCCTCGCATTCAAACTTCATGCATGTTGAGTCTCTTCATTTTCTACTCTTTGCTCAAGTCACATGGATAAGGCTAGTTATCACTCACTTAGGGCTAATTAGCCCTCACCCTACTGGTCAAACACCCTATAGTTGCTATAGCATCCTTACTACCACTATTAGATTGCATCCATCAATAAGAGAACTGTGTATAGTAGAGTGGGTGTTAATTAACTCCAAGTGAGGGATAACTAGCCTCTAACAATTCAAACATGATCAGGTTGGTACTGTATGTTATTTCTTCTGCGTTATTATACCCCAAATCAGCATTGTAAGATATTGAAGAAAGTACTGTAGTAGACATCACATCTGAAAAACCTTACACCCAACCTGGCCGCGTACTCGCACAGCGGTCCGCTGTCGCCCGCCTTCACGCAGCGGTCCCTGTCGACCTCTCCAGGTCTGCCCCTCAGGACTTCGGAGACACGTGGCGGATGAGCGGAGACCCTGTATAGCGTTTCTTTCGTAAAGCCAAAGAAACCTCCTTCGAACCCAAGGGGGACTCGACCAGCGGGAAATCGTAAAGCCATTTCATTGTTTTATATTACTTTCTATTTTGTCTTGTATTCAGTATTGGTTTTTACCAATATTGAATGGCCTTTTATCCTAATAAACTGGTATCGCAGGAAAAAATACGCGCGTAGCAGAGCAATGACCAGCGCGTAACTTTGCGCTGGATCGGGCCAGAAGGAGCTAACTTCATTTCAATTAAATACACTCCTCTCCCGCTGGTCGAGACCTTCGGACTCCAAAATATATTTTTTTACGCATTCTTTAAAACGAGGAGCGAACACGAGAGAAAAGACCGAATTCTCTGATCCGGAGAAGCAAAATAATGAAAACGAATAGAGCTAAAATCTCTTCGATTCCCACATGAATATGCCAGAATAACAAGATATTTAGCAGAATCAAAGTGGATATATTTGCTATAAGAAAAAACTCTCAAGCTTTCCCCCCCTAAAAACCGTAATTGTTCCTGCTGGCTTCTCGTGGCATCTCAACTATCACTGAATATCCATAAACTGCCATCAAAATGAAAGAAATTCCAGTGGGTTGAAACATAGAAACACAATATTCACACACGCCAGGCCGTCGGAGATGGACTTATTCCTGCCCCTGGGACCGGCTGTCGTCGCTCCGAACCGGCAGCTGCCATGCAGGCGTTCCCGGGCTCTATCGAGCCAATCGGAGGGCTCCGGAAACCTCGTCTTGGCATACTCGCGCGACTCATCGGCCAATGGATCGAGAGTTTTCTTTGTCGACTGCGTACGAAAGCACTTTCGTCGCATCGAGGAGCATCGAGGACTGTGATGATGTTGGTGTGAGACCAGATCGTCGAGTTGGAAGCACCGGGCGGACCAAGTCCGATCGCACCTGCAGGAAGAAGTTCGAATCTGAAGGTTATAAATCTGAAGGCTTTCGCTGTAGCATATTATATCCACAATCGAGTCGGAGAGAAGAGAAGAGAAGAGATCAGATCGTCGTCCCGAGTCCAACAAGTCTTCCAGAGTGTGGCGAGATCTGAATCTCGCTAGAGAGACGATTCGAGATAGTCTGGATCAGAGTTTGGGACTGACTAGCACAGCGTACAGAGAATATGAAACGAGCACAGTTTCGAGGATGTTTGCTCGGAGGCGCATGCGGCGATGCTCTGGGTGCGAAGGTGGAGTTTGTGACCCAGTCTGTCACCATCTTTCGGAAGTATGGACCCACAGGTTAAGTTTCACCTCTCCTTCCGATCCTTGGAAGAGTTCATTTGTACCTGCTTCCCAACAGCATCTGCAATTGAATCAATTTGCTCAAGCTTTACAATTTGCTCAAGCTTTACGTTGGAGGATCCTATCTAATGATAGGATCCTCCAACGCAACAATTGTGCAACTCTTATATCAATTCGATGTCCTCCCTTTAAGCAATTCTGTGGCCCTTCCTATTTTTAAGTTTCAATTGAGTCCACAGTTCTGATCTGGACATTCCTATATCTTTCTCAATTGAAGGAGAGGCCAAGGATGCAGCTTTGGGATCCACGTACCTTGCCTACCTCTTTAAGATTCTGAACCTGCAGTTTGTGTTGGCTGACTGCAGGGATACGTGATATCGGAATGAATTATAATGTTGTTGGAGGGGTGACTGATGACACGCAAATGACACTCTTCACAGCTGAGGGTCTGATCAGTGCTCTCCTTCCCATCCTTATCAGTCAGAGAGGTGATAAGTCTGCTGCTACCGATCAAACACCTGATTCTACAAATCCTCTGTTCGAAGCTGAAAATTACGTACCAGCTGTCCACCAGTCCTATCTACGGTTCGTCTCAGACCCTATAGGGCCGATTATCTGCCTGCGCAAAACTGAACGTGAACTATACGCACTGCTTTATGGTTACAGCTTGATAGCTTTGGAGCACTTATGCAGCCTTGAGAAGAGTTTGTAGTCTCTTCTTTCACTGATGTAGCCTTCTATCAGTAACTTCTCAGTCACCTCTGAACATTCAGGGATCATGTGGCATCTCTATTCTGCTGTGGAGATTCTCGAGTGCTAGACACTGGACCACCTTTTCCTGATATTTCCTCTTGTGTTCAACAAGCTGTGCCAGCCTTACACCAGTCTTACTTGAGGTCAGCCACTTCATTGGACCGTCCTTTCTCACAGATGTGTAATCTCACTGAAAGCCAAGACTAGTAAAAGCTTTGATTTTCTTACTAATTTTTGCTGCCTATCAGACCCTATTTCAGCAGACGTAAGTATATCACTCTTGTATGGTGAAGAATGTGGAGATAGTACCTTTTACATATTGTCTTTTCGAGATTCTGATTTCTCGAACTTATCGCTCCTTTCAGCTCATCTGAACCTTTGGAACAACTAACCGCAGATGGCTCAAAACGCAAGGAGTCAACTGCAATAGTCCTGCTTCCAGGAGGGAAGTAGTAGAGAAAGGATGGCTCATTCTACAACAGGCCCTGCATAGTCGCAGAGCACCGGGCAATACATGCTTACAGGCTCTGATGTCAGGGGATGTGGGCTCGACCCGGAACATAATTAACGACAGCAAAGGTAAACATGGACTTGAACAAGTTGTGTTGCCCGCTTAGAATTCTTGCAGATCACAGAGCACTACAAAGAAATTGCTGCAAGTATTATTGCCTCAGATATACTAAGGGGTTGATTCTGCAGGCTGTGGAGGAGTGATGAGAGTAGCTCCGTGTGCACTCATTGTAAGCGCTGGATTTGCTGATATTCCGAAGGACCAGCAACTACAACTTGCATTCCAGCTTGCCTGCGCTGCAGCAGCAATTACTCACACTCATGCTTCTGGCTGGCTTTCGGCTGGATGCCTATCGTCTATAATTCTTTGTGTTCTATGTGGTACACTCTGCTCCAATGGATGCCATATTACTTTCTCAATAGAAAATTGTCGATGAAGCTTCTGGTCTCTTGGGTATACATGGATACACTACCTCAATTTGCCTAATGTTTAAATGGACATTTTCCTGTAGGTGATTCTCTGGAAAGGGCAGTTGAGCAAACGATCACTCTCTTGAAGAAGGAACCAAAGCATAAGGAGTGTCTCCGTAAAATAGAAGAGGCCACAAAGTTATCGAAGATCTTCGCCAAGAGATCACTCGAGATTGAAGAAAAAGATGCAAGCGCCCTCAAGCAGGAACTTGCTTTGGAGCATATCGAGATGTTAGGAGAAGGATGGGTTGGTGAGGAAGCACTCGGTATTTCACTGTATTGCTCCCTCATAAGTCAAGATGATTTCGAAACTGCCGTCTGTTACTCGGTCAATCATGGAGGGGACTCAGACAGCACGGGAGCTATAACAGGAAACATTCTTGGAGCTTTGTTGCGTGACACAGCAATTCCTGTTCGATGGAGTAAGGTTGTGGAACTGCGTGATGTCCTACAAGAAGTGAGCGATGATTTGTTTGATGTGTTGGATCCTAACAGACACGAGAACTTGAGCCTAAAGTACCCCCCCGCGATTATGAAGACCGAGGACGGAACTGACCTTTCAACCTATTACAAGGAAAAGAAGTACGGCTCACATCAGTCCTGACAGTGAGCAGCGAGCAATATGGTCTTCGTCGTACGTGCAACAACAGCAGTGAGGAATCAGAAGGACGATTCAACAACAGTGCTGTTGGACGAAATCGGAACGACGATTCATTATACTCGATGGACCCCCTCGACGACCCTGCAGTCCACCGTCACCCATGGCGCACATGCTCTTATGCGTCGATATCAATGTCTCGAAAGTGAAGCAGCGTCGCCCAAAGCTGCAGTGCTCTACGGTCCACCGATCATACATACGAATCATAGAGGACCGATTCTAGAAGACCGTAAATCATCGGGATGGAGGCTCTTGCGTCCTGATAATTTCTTAACAGTTTGAATTACCATGAGAGGACAAAATCCATAGCTGAGGACAGATGTACAGACCGAGTACCCCCGACAAGGTAGACGATGGACAGAGTCCATACCTTTACCTGAAACTCTTGTCTTCACCGGTTGACCAACAACCAAAACCGGAGAGCAGTTCCTGAAAGTCTTGAGCACTTGAGGATAGTCATGTCAACATTACAAATCGGCCGACACGTTAAGAACACGATTCAGATCACGGTCAGTTTGATATCTCTGTATGATTAGGGTAAAACAGATGAACGACTCAAAACACAAAAAAAAATTCAATCTGTCTTACCTACAATATGACTGCCTTCACTTAATGAAAAGTTGTTACATGGCTTGGGAGTTCGAGATGAAGTGGTTCAACTAGAGAGGAAGAAAATTGGAAAGAATCACGATAGTATATCTTTGAGTAAATTAGCACGACTTCCTGTCCTAAATTCGACTTGGGAACTTTACAAATTTACAACTGTTCCTACTCCTTGAAGGTAAACTTCTGAACTCGTGTGATCTCCGCATACACTCCTTGAAGTATCTCACCCCCGATAGCCTCGACGCCTCTTAAAAAGCTTTAGATTTAGGAGATAAAGTGTATCCTTTTAGAGGCAACCATCAGGCACATCTACATGTTCCAAATGCATTCTCTGTACTACATATTGGAAATCCTTCTCCGATTCCGACCTGGTTACTATCGGCATTTCTGCATCCAGAAACTAACTCGAAATTCGCCGGACAAGACCAGACCACCGACTGGCCGACTTGCAAATGCTTGGAATCTCGTCTTACACAAGTTCCCCTCTCGAACATGAATTCCATTGCTACAAAGAAGAGGAACAGCTGATCAAAAGAATCCTCTCACTGAAAGTTTGGCGTGATGACAGACGACAGAACAAAGAAGTCATCCTCTTGTCTTCTTCAGCTCTGCAACCCACAAGAGCATGCAGTATCAGTGTCAGAGTTCGAAATATCGTGGAGAGAGAACAATTCGAATGTTATGTGAACTTCGCTTCTGGTGGCAATACGAAGATCACGTGTGCGTGAGAAGTGTGGATATGTACCGAGAGCTGGAGATCTGAGGACGAGGCATAATGCCGCATCATCGTCTCTCCGCATTTACGCTGTACACAAATAATCTGGCTGTATCTCGGTGACGGAGATACCCTCTTTCATCCTGTCAAATGACCCGTCCTCGTGTAGAAATTATAGTCGTGCTTGGAGTGTCTTCATCAGAGCTGCTGTCAAGAATTTGTGTCGTCTTTCTTGAGCGCAAACCGTGAAGAAGCTTTCATGTACAGTGCTCCTCCTTCGCCCAGGAGGAGATCAGGTCACCTGAACTAAAATTCTAGGATTGGGATGGTACATCTTACCAAGTCATATACACAAAATTATGGTACTCTAAGCTGCGGTGATTACTACGCAGAAAGATAATATTGCTGGTAAACCTAAAGAACTGCCGAGGCAGCAAAGCCAAGCCATCGGTCACGGAATTCCGACCGGCGGAATGAAGACCAAGATGTAGTGGAGATAAGCAGGGCATTGCTTCTCACAAACCGTCAAAATTCAACCTTCGACGGACTGAGGCCGTTCGAAAAGTTTGATTCAAGATACTCATGCGGGCAGGCTTCATAGGAGCACGAAGTACATTCGGAGAAGCATTCAGATCATTTTCCAGAGTCCGCGGAGAGCAGGGATTTTCTTTCTCCGACCAGTCAGTCACAGCGGCAATCAGCACCCTACCAGCTGGAGACTCTAATTGCCCACAGGATCGCTCCACGCACGAAACAAAGACAGGAGAATCGCCGCAAGTCTGGTCCATCACTTCAAAAGAGACAGAGACCTGCAATCCCTCGGAAATCCGGCCGACAGGACGCACTGTACTATCGTTCTTGCTCTCTATCGAAAGCTCGACTATCCGAGAAGCAGGCGAAGAAACAACTGACTCCGCATCCGTTCCATCGTCAATCGCCCTCTGCTCTGTCAACGCGGACGACGCAGAAGTGTCCGAAGCAGGCGAAGAAGACCGCACACGCATTTCAGCATCGACGCACTGCGCAAAATCGCCGTCCTCGTTTTTCTTCGGCGACACGAAGACAATCGTTGCGTTTTCTGCCATCGTAACAATTCCACTTCCTCTTCGCTGTTTCTCGTCACCACGAGGAAGAATTAAATTAAATAATAGCCCCCGGCAGCTGAACCCCAAATGACCCCGGATCAGCGGGGCTAGTGAAATGCAGGGTCGTCCCGGTCGCTTCTCCTCGTCGTCGAGGTCTGAGGGCGACCGGCGACCGGGGACTGGGCTAGGGTACAATGCGTTACGATTCGCTTGCGAGCAGCGCGGAACGAGCCCCGGAAGCTTCGGCGAGAAGCTGGAGGAGACTCACAGGCGCGGCCATTGTTGCCAAAGAGCCGTTGCTCCGCTGGAGAGTTGGTGTTCACGCTACATCCGGCTCTGGAACTCTTTCGGCATTCTTTTATTGATTGCTTCCGGCGTGTATACATACAACTCCATAATATTCTGTATGTGTTTGGCCTGTGAAATTCGTGTAATAACTGGTATTAGAGAGAGAGATGAGACCGAGGTCTTCTGTCTTTAGCTCGGACACCATAGAGTGCGCACAGTCGGAGCGCAAGTCAAGGAAACCATGGAATGATGTTGGAGGTTGATGCAACCAAGAAATTATTGTTTTGGAAAGAAGCAAGGTGCAAACATTTCTACAAAAGTAATCGACGAGTTGGAATGCGGAAGTTCGCGTACGATCGTGAATTTGGAAGAATAGGAGGCTCGAGCAAGGGTGAAGTTTGTGAGTGGTGCAAGTGCATGTCGTTGATGTTTTTTGATTGTGGAGATAAGAAATCACGAGAAAATATGTGAATAGATAGTGATTTTCGAGTTTATTCTCAGTTAGATTTAACTCGTATGTTTTTTTACTATTTCATCATATTTCTAAGATATAAAAATCATTCTACATAATCTATGTCCAAATACAATCTCAACTAATTTTTTCGTTCATTTCAAAATTATTGCAAAATTAATTTTTCAATGATAAAATAAATTTTCACACAATGCATTTTCTACGTTTCTCGTAAAAAAATTTATGCTTTTCTATTTTATATTATTTGAGTACTTAGAATAATAATTAATCAATACAATAATTATTATCCAAATTATATTCATTGATATACATCTTGATAGGTATGATTGGTTCTCAATACTTGTAAACATTTCATTGATGCATATTAGCATTAAGACAATATAGTAATGCTCAATTATAATTATGGAGTTATCATAATATTTATTATTTTGCTAAATATAAACTTGATGACTATATTTAGTAAACTAGCTGAATTTTAATCATGATTTATCAAATTTTTGGTTAGGTTTTTTAATTAATTCAGACATATCACTACATGTCTTTAAAACAAAATGATTTTTTTGAGTCTACGATTTTTAAGACAGTTCAATTTAGTAAAATAGTTCGAAACTTCCTTTTTTTATTTTAAATTATGGAATTTGCAAATTTATAGTCAAGCAGTATCCTTAAGGTTTTTAAGATTTCAAAATCTTGCAAAATTTTCAAAATTTTTTAAATTGTAATCAAGTGTAATACGCAAGACTTGTCAAATAGGAATAAGAAATTGCTTGAAAATCAGTAGTGTGTATTACGTATCATTTATTGATAAGTAGTACCTTTTTATATACATTTATTTTTTCAAAAAAATTCATATGATCTTTGCAAATTTTAGTAGTTTGAAAGCATTATTTGATACTCAAACTAGATACAAGGTGATACATCTATGTATGCATAATGATCAATAATAGACTTATGAAAGATTTTAAATTTTATCACAACGAGAGTAGAATAAATTCTTATCTCATCACAATTTATCTCTGTAACAAGATAATTTTTTCTAAAATACTCAATCGAACAGTGTTGAAAAAAAATTGCAGTTTGTCAAGACAATATATCATATGAATTGAAGGCTGAAGTTGTTAAGATTGCACTAAATTTGGTACATGTTTTTTATTTTTAGTACGATCAATTTTTTAACACTGTTTGAATTGAATTGAGTCAAAAATGGTTGTATGATTATAATCATTTAGGAATTTTTTGTTATACATTTAAAATTCCATATGTAAGAATAATATGGAATATAAGATGGTATTCAATTTTTAATTGAATACCACATCCAAGAAATATTATTTTTATATGTATGCTAACATGTGACAAATTATAGATTTGGTAATCCAACAGTTTGTAAAAGTATGTTTAAAATCTTTGTTTTTTTATAAGCTCAAGTCATTAAAAAAGAAAAAAGAATTTTCAAGATCCCTTTATTGACAAGAACAAATTTTCAATCATGGATGTTTGCAAAGCAAGATTGATCAATATTGATACATTAATATGACACAAGAGTAAGCTCAAGAAAAGATGAAGCAAATTATAAAAAAGCAAAAATTGTGGTAAGAAATACGATTGGTGAGAATACTCATCCTTAACAAATAAGATCATCCAAAATCATATACTAGAAGAATATTTAATCGGATTAGTAGATTTACTACAAGATATAAGATAGAAATGCAATTGTTGATAAAAAACAATGCGTGATAATTAGTGAAACTTTTAGGGAAAAAAAATTGATTGATAGCAAGTGGATGTATAAACGGATGATAAAGCCAACAGTTGAAGTGAAATTTTTTTTCAAAACTAGGTTGATGGCAAGAATTTTCACACAAGAGATAGTTCTGAATTACAATAAAGTGTTTTCAACGATAAGATTTTAAGCTACAGTTTGAATATTACGTGCATTTACTGCATAATTTATTTTTTTGACTTAAAAAAAAGAATCAAGAAATTTTATTTATTAATTTTAAAAGTTATGATATAGATTTAAACAAGCTCATAGAAAGAAATTGCAAGACTCGATGGGAACATGAAAACACAAGTATTTTCACATGGTGTTTATGATCATTAAATTCACATGAAAAAAATAAATAATAAGATCTTCAATTTCATTATATAAACATTTTAGATGAATAAAATGCTTATTTTTAACATTAGTTAAAAATTTACTATGCAAAAGTGAGAAACTTAGTTCATGACAATGTTCAAATATGTAGAGATAGCAAAAATATCAAAAAATCAACTTATCTTGAGGTTGGAAAATTTCATTGTAATAAAAATAGTGCATTGCGTTTTGATAAAAATCAAATGATGGATAGTAGAATAAAACATATCGACATGAGTATTTTTTTTAATGCAATTTAAATTTTATTTTTTTGAAAAAATCAAGAATGATGAATAATTTTAACCAATTGATGTATTGATCAATGTTTTTCTTTTAGAAAGTAGATGAAAAATAGCTTGTAATCATTAAAATGAAGAAGAGTAGCTATTGAAGTTACCTAAATTTTTTGATGCATAAAGTGAATTTATCTTAATAGCAATCTAATATGTATATATATTTGATAAAACTAACCATCATTCTTGATGAAATTGTAAAGAATTAGAAAATTTAAACAAATCAAATAATACTAAATTTCAAAGATATTACACATCTTTGACATGCAAATATAAATTTTTGAAATAAGTAAGTGATGAGATTGAGCTTGTAAGTTTAAAATACTAAAAATTTTGCAATATCCAACTGCATAAAAAATTTTCTTAAGTGTAATAATAGCATATTGATCAGATTTCTTCTATGTATTAGTTGTCAAGTCAATTGATATACCAAGTAACTTCAAACATCCCAAGTTGAGCATATTAAATTTTGATACAATTGTGTTGCTCTATGGAAGTTTTCACAACATTGTACCTATGTAAAAATTATAACCTGTTTAGTTGACAAATTAATATCTACAAAATTGATGTGTTGAGCTATATCAGATTGTTTGAAGATGGTTGCAACACATCCAGCACTAAAATGGTAGAGGTCAACACAAACAATCATAACCAGATGTGAAGAATTATCATTGTTTGCCTCAGTATATTTTATTTTATACGAGTAGAGATCAACAAAAACAATCATAACCTCTGAATATGAAAATGAACGAATGAATGAAATGCAATGAAAATTTTTCATTGCTTGCGTCAATCAATTTTATCATATTTAGCTAGAGATCAACACAAACAATCATCTTTAATTAAACAATATACAATTATTCATCTTTGCAATCTTAGATTACTCTCTTTAACAATAGTACTACAAAAAATTCATTATTACAAATTGTACTCAAACATGTATAAGTATGACAAGCATACTGGAAAACATATCAACCTGGTGCAAGAGTCATCGGAGATGCATATTACTTTAATGCGTGTTCAGCACTTCACGACCATATTGAAATGAATACATGAAAGTATGAAAGAAAAATTGCTTCATGCTTTGTTAGATCTATATCAACGTTACACCGAGGGAGTTTGCAAATTTCTTTCACTTGTTCATTGCAAACAAACTGAATATTCATTGCTTGAAGACTCTCTCCACGAAAATTCAGGATGAAGGTAAGTACTAGCTGCTTGTACATTCATTAACAACGACTGGTAAATAAAAAGTCAGAGTTTGGAAAAGTTGGTCTGAGCAGTCATTGCCAAGAACCTTTTGATTTTCAGCTACTCTTTGAGCAACATTATGCAAGCTGGCTGGACCAAAATAATTAACGTTTTTGTCAACTGCAATCTGAGACAGACGCAATTGTGGGTGAGCTCTAACGATTACATGGGACATAGCTTTGGGTTGTTTGCAGGACACATGAGCCCCTGCAATGCGCTGCCTCAGTGAAAGGCGTGTCTGTTGACTGGCATCGATGCGAGGTCGTTCGAGATGTTCCTGTTGTACATTATTGTGCTTTTCACGAGGAGATCGTGGTCCCGGCCAAACAATATTCTGGTGAAAAGGACGTTGAAAGTGACCGAGCAATGCAAAGATACTCAAGACAGTTCTAGCATTTCCGACTCGCAAGCCTTTCAGACATTGACCAATATGGAGATGTCTTTAAATATTAGCGTGGTTTTCTTAATCGTGTGAGCCGTTTTGAATTCAGTTCGAACCAAAAGGTTTTAGCTATCTCGCTGTAGTTTTCCGTTCAAGGTTTTGACGAAAATTCACAATTATCTTGTAATATAAAATGCTTCAATACACTACACGCGGGTGGAAATTGTGTGGCAGGACAAGTTTTCGTTAGTATCAGTAACAACCAGCTTGGACAGGATACAGGCATTCTCATTTTCACCCTTGCTTGCAGCTTTTTAGCATGGCAATATGGGCAATTGTGAGATTCTTGCTTTCATGGTGGACATGCCACAGCTGCTACTAGGTTAGATTGTGAATTTCAAGTTGAAGCATCCGTAATGGAAAGTTAGGCCATGACTGAGAAGCCATGGCCTGATTGTGAACATTAGATTGTGAAGCTTTGATTGATCCTCCTGCAGACAGCAGAAATGGAGAGACGTAGATGTTCGTGTTTAATGAGGGCAAAGTCGGAGCGATGCTCGATACTGACACTGCAACATATGCCAGTTTGAACAATTTCTTTTGCAAATGTGTCAATTTAGCTACATTAAATTTCAATCGAGCATTTGGGGTTGGAAAAATACAGATAAACCAGGCTGAAAAGTCTGATCACGAAAGTGCAATTCATTGTTTTTGTTTTTTGAGATGGTAAACTTCTCACAAATATATAGATGGGGGAAAGATCCTAAACAATTCATTGCTGACAAAGAAATATAGCTTATAGATTTTGGTCCTTTACGGATGCTTTGCAAGGATCTTCTGAAAGCTGGAAAGGGTCCTAGGAGCAAGTTTTAAGACAAGGTACACTGGGTGTACAAAATTGACCCCACAAATTATTAACCTAAGCTGTAAGAGAATTTGAAAATACCTGCAAATTTAGAACAATATTTGAAAATTTTTCGTCACAAATAATCAACAGGTTTCGGGAAAACCAGAGATGAAATTTACAACATAGCCGCTGTAATCCTCTGCTCAAAATCTCAGCCGATTTACCTCCTTCAAATGTACTTTTTAATGTAGAAGAAATTCTGGGGTAAAAGGAAAGTAACACCTTGTATATAGACACCAGTACGCATGACAAAACACAAAATTGAGGCAGATATCAAACAAAACCATTTAAATTCCAAACTGTCCAAACTCAGAGTTGGGTGAAAGCTGTTATAGATAACACACCATTATGGGATTGTTAACATTGAATTTAAGTGGAGTGATGAATGAGAAGTTTGTGAAGAATGTCAATAAAACTTTTTTATTGGTGAATATGATGATAAGAATGGGGTTTTGAGGTGAGAATGATATGAAATATGCACACTTAGTGTCAGGTAGAGTGGTGATGACTAATCTATTGGCTTGATAGGGGTGTAAATGGGCGTATTCAAACTTCTCTCATGATTTTTAAGAAATCAACTGGCTTTTATGTTTTGAGGTGAGTCGAGTCTCAAACTTTGGAGTCATGTAGCTACCAATCTATAGGACTTAGAGTTTTGCAGCAACGGTAGTTATACGGGCTTTGGAACACGCTGTAGGCTAGTACGGTTAGCTTCAGAATTCTAGACCTAGCCCAAGCTGTGCTTAGAATGCCTAATAAGCTTTTGCTTCGCAGTCATACTTTATTTTGGTCTCTTATCAGATTAGATCAAGAGGCGCTGACATTGCTTGTATTGACAAGAGAAGCTTTCAGCTCTGTAAGACTGCTGTGGGCAGACTAGCCCTTGAGGCAAATGTACTTAATCAATAAAATTTGACGAGTTCCTCTTCATTAATTCATTTCTGTCTTCTTTTGATTGATTCAGCTGGACTTCAATAAAGGTTATCAGATACTACGGTGCCCAAGTTTAGGAAATGATGATAATTGCATTTTAGATAATAAGGTTGGACTGTTGATCTGTTATAAACAAGATTTGTAATGGCATAAAACCATTTCTTGTGGTAATATATCGACAGTGCTGCTATACTAGTGATATTGAGCATGGTCAAGGCAAGAGATTCAAAACTGACTCATTCCTCCACCAAGTACAGCCCAGTTCTCAAATGATACTTTTACGAACAAAGATTCATTTGAACTATAAACAAAATTTCAAAGCAAATCAAAGTGGATATGGATTTCAAATAAATTGTTGTCAAAATTTAAGAGGCTCAGGAGCTATAAAATATCCGGAAGCAGTGGTTTCAAGGATTGCTGCAAATTCTGATTTTGCACAATGTCTGGCATGTTGTGTATGGGTTTAGTACATGTATGTGCAAGAGTAAAGTTGATAGAACTTAATGATACTGCGCTTTGACATGAGACCATACTGGACTGTCAATAACATGCAATCTTTTGCTGTTATACAGGATATTGCAGGATATTGCTCTCTAGAAACAGTTTGCTCTATGTTGACAGACTTCTGCGCGGTAACCTGAGCAATTTAATGGACTTCAAAATTGGTAATTATTTTGAAATTTTGTTGAAACGTCAAACAAGAGGCAACAAATACTAATTTTATCTGACATAATATTTGATGAACCTAAAGAGAATATTTATTTTTCAATCCTGTTGGTTGTATCATTGAGTTTGAAGAAATGATTTACATTTAGATTGCCCGCATGAGTAGAGACAATTTTTTATCATGGGATCGCGAAGGTAAACATTAAGTCTATCATTTTCGGCTAAATCAATCACAACGCGATGAGGGAGCAAAAGGTGATTCTTTTCGGAAAGTTAACTGAAATCAAAAAATCCAATCATGGATTACTAAAAGCTTTAGACAACTCATAGGTATTTATTGCCCAATACTATCTGAAAGCGTATACAATATGGTCCAATGCTAGTTCTACTACTACCAATACATACGAAAAATTGGTTTCCAAACACAAGAATCTTCAGAACTTGCGTAAAATGACCATTAAATCTTGATCCTTATTTTTTTGGAAAAATTATGAGTACTTACCCAAGGAGGTTAGTGTAGCACTTTTCTTTATTTTAAAGGAGACGATACTGGGAGCCCTCACTACATGCACAGAAAGCATGAATTAAAATAACAAGTGAGGAGAGTGAGTTTATTTTCACTTCTCATAATTCAAGATTTTCGACCAATGTCAATCAGGACGTTGAATTTATGTGTCGTAGAAAAGGGAAAGGCACGTCTTGACTGGACAGTTACAGCGGCAGCCATCGCCAGACAAGTGCAGCTTCGGAGAGGTCGGGTCGCTGGACAATACATATCTGGTGAATTCTTGAATTGTGTATGTTTACATTGTTCGGGAGCTCTCGCCTCTTTTCCCAGAAGCTCGCTCGTTCAGACATCTATCGTCGTTCTTCTCGTTCTTCATTCGAAAGTGTTGCGAGGTTTCAGCTCCTGTCTTCTGAAGCAGGTATGTCGTTCGGGAATCTTGAGAGTAATTTGTATTCAGGAGGCTAGATTGACCCCTAACCTTTCTTTTCGACGGATGAAGCTATCAGCGCTGGTTTTGAATCGGTGTGTTTTAGTCGCAGAGTCTCTTTACTTGGAGTTACTGTCCACTTGAAGTTACCTATCGGACAGCAGAGATGACGTCTTTTGTCTTCTTCATTGATTTCTGTTTTAATCGAAGGGTGTTCATAATTATCTCGACGTGTATTGGCGGGTGATTGGAGAGGCTAACGTCGAATTCCATCGAGGGAAAGGGATTGTTCTTTTAAATCAGGCCCTTCACAAAGGCTGGAGTGTGTTGATTTATCAGGCCGACTGGTGGTGGAGGAGCTTCATTCGACCTTAGTTTACTGCTGAAAGAAGGAAGGAAGGATGGAAGAAGGATCTCCATCACACCCTTCAGACGCCGAAGGTACAAACGCCTATCGCGTAGTAGACGCCAATGCCTATCGCGTATTAGACGCCATTGCGTTCGTACAGATTGTAAAGAAGACTTTCAAAAACGAGGAGGGAACATACGAGGAGTTCCTGAACATCCTGCAAAGCTTCAGGCAAGGACAGCTGAATACGTCCGAGGTTGAGATCCGAGTAAACTCTCTTTTCAGTCGTTACCCTCACCTGATTCAAGGCTTCAGAAAATTTCTTCCAGACAAGTGTTTGATCAGTGTGGTAGCACCGGCAGCATGACTTTAGAGCATCCAGGTGTTGTGGATCCTCTATTGATGAAGAAAGTGAAGTGTTGTTTTTCTTATCAGACTTGGTAGGTAGCATGTTTTCGATTTCTTCACTAACTATCAGTTTCATTGCCCTACTTTACATTTCATGAAGCTTAGAGGTTCTTAACTTTTACGAGAATGTTTGCCCATGTATCAATCTTCCACCTGGTCTAGTTTACAGTAGACGGGCTATTTTTCTTCAAGAATTCTTTCAAAGGAAGAAAGTTTGTGAAAGAAACAATGATAAGGTCGCAGAACGTGCATTGAACCGTTCCAAGGATATCACATGCTTGCACTGAAATTATCATCTTTGCATATAATCGTCATTAAGTCTTGGTTATTGGTGGTTATATGAAGATGTGATCAGTAATTGAATTTTTATACTTTCGAACAGATTCTGAAATCTAGATGGTTAATTTTTGCCACGATACAAAATGCTGAATGATTCTAGTATCCATGTGGATCGCTTGAACTGGTCATGTTTCGCAAACAATTGACCATACAATACAATGCTAACGTGATGTTCGGAAAGAGTGTCACACATCACCGCCAATTAGTGCATTATACTGAGCCTCCTCCATTCCAGGTCATAGTTTCTCCCCATTGTATCAAACTAGAACTTGCAGGACGGTTAGAGATGGATGATAACTTATGTGTTATGAAGCTCTAAACTAATAGGACGAACAGTCCCATATCAGCCATGCGTGTCCATTTCAGATTGTGATATCTCCTAGGAACACTCTCAAGCATCTCCGGATGTTTTGAAACGCAGTTTCTTCTGTGTGATTTCCAGCAGCTCGAAATGAAAAGGCGCACAACTTTGGATTTAATATTTTAGACGCTGAAATAATCACGATGAAATAGAGTCGATGCAAGTTTTGTGGGCTTGTGCTCCCTTGGAATATAATTTTTATCAACTTGATAATGTGTCTGGTACCCATCCTCTTCCATTACATTTGTCGCATGATCCGGAGAACCTCACATCCTGGCATTTTTTTTCCTCTCCATTGGCAATCTGATCAGGTTCTAACTATTTCACGAGATTGAGGGTTGTTTGCGAAAATCAAATGCACGGTATGGAAGAAAAACAACTGCCATTCACATTGCAAGATGGCAATGTTATCTCTTTGTATATCACATAGATTTTCATTCTGATTTATGGCCTACAGCAGATTGTGTCTTACACTAGATAAGAAACTGAGGAGTCCACACCATGTTGCAGGAAAATTGCTCATCAGTATCAAGAACTACGTAGTTTGTCCAAACAATGATTTCAGTTTCATCCGAAGCTACGAAATGTTGGGATCAAATTCTACTAAACACTAAACGTTTTTATTCCTGAAGGATTTTATGACCAGATTTGTCTTGCCCGATTGCATCGATGAATATGTCCTTATTGCTTCATTGTTGCTCTTTAACAACGGTATATGTTGAAAATTCCAAAAATTCAACTATAAATTAAAACATAAATGACTATTAAATGCAGCAATTGTATTCTCATTGATACATTTCCTGAGAATTAAAAGAAAATCTCATCAATGAGTTCCTCTGCTAATAGGCCCGCTTATATTTGTCCTCATTATCAATTTTGAATTTGGATGTTGAACGTGGAAATTGCCCTCATTTCTTGGTTCTAGTTTCTCATCTCTACTACCAAACTGCTGTTCACAAACTTTGTGTAGCAATTTCACATTCTTGAGATTCAGAACGAGAAAATGTGTGTATTGACAAAGGGATGAAAGGTTTAACTTGAGTTAAATTAGTAGGCTATGAGAGCTGGAAAATTATTTGTCACAATTTAGAATCTGATACCTCATTTTTCCTCACTTTGTACTTCGAGATTTTCCTTGTCATTCTCCTCAGTCCTTCGAGATTCGTGGGCATTTGGTAAGTTCAGTCGGAATGATCAATCGAAATGACTAAACAAGAAAAACACTTCAAATCCTCTTGCACTTCACTCAATTCGAAGACCGTGAACTAAGAATCGCCGACTCCTGGGTGTTAATCTCAAGAACTGTTTGCGTGGTACATGTCGTTCCAGATGTTCTTTCATCTCTCCAGGTCTTGACTGAAGGCAATGTGTTGCGATTCCAAAGAGGATGCTGACGGCCATCCTGAAAACAGACGTACGTTTATCTGCAATCTAACACCTTCTACCTTTCAGAGCTGTGAAAAGAATAAATATACCCTCGAACCAAAAAACCTCAGTGCGTGATTTTGACTACTACATTTTATTATCTATGTCACGCGAAATGTTTTATGGATATAAATGTCCAAATACTTTAGGACCATATTTTTTGGATGTTGCACGGGTGACATGATACCTGAATATAATTTGTGGTCTTCGTAAAACAAATCGACCCGAGGGTGATTAAATTGGTGGACCTCATAATGATTTGAGAGAAATTCAGTAAATCACTTTTATAGCGAATTTCCCCTCTTCTTATCTTTCTCTCTCTCTTTATGACCGGCGCGTGAATTTCTATTCATTGTGTATTTATTTTCAGGATATTGTAAGAGTTGTGGCAAAATTGATCCAAGTCGATAATTAAATAATTCGAACCGGAAGTTGAATCTGTGCTAGGCCAGCGTTCTGATTCCCCGACGAACGTGCCCGGCTGCGTAACGGCTTGCATGGCTAGGTGGAGGAATATCAGGGGTCATATTCCTGTACGCGCGTGCATTCAAATCCGGTGACCACCAGCCGGCCATAAATAGCCCTGGACCTCGGACGGAGAGAGCTCGAGCGGGCAGACTTCAATTCAAATCCGGTGACCACCAGCCGTCCATTAATAGCCCTGGACCTCGGACAGAGAGAGCTCGAGCGGGCAGACTTCAATTTCGCCGAGCAGCGCACTTCTTGCCGGGTGTCGTCGGCTCGTTCGGATGGTGCGGACACGGAGCACAGCTCTCCCCCTCGAGCCTAAGGAATCGGTCTGTCGAGAAACCCTTTCTCGAGCATTTCGTGCTCTCTTTGTGAAGAAGCGCCCCGTTGGAATTGATGAAGAAATCCAGAGCTCGGAGTTTTTTAAACAGGTATGACATGAAGGGGAGACTGATAAGAGAGGTCCTATTTATCTGATGGATGAAGTGGCTCTGACTCATCCGGTGGACATGTTGATGTGAAAAGTTCATATGAACTTCGAGACTTTGAGGAGAGATTGCACTTGCAAAGGATCATATGAAAATCTCAGTATTTGCTTTGCTGGTTCTTGTTGGAGAATCTTTGGTTTCACAGTGTATTAATTCAGCGGTTCTGGTCGGGGACAATTTACAAGAGTGTGTTTTGATTTTATAGGTAGAATAGCAAGTCGCCTGTGCTGTAGATCCGGAAGGAAGATTGGAACGCCTAAATTTATGAAATTTCAACATCTGAGCGGTGTCTGATATCTGGTATATTGAAGAATCTAGGTCAATCAACGTGTTTGCAGCCAACAACCTGAGAACACGGTCAGACTTTATGGCTCCTTCTGGATCGCGCAGTTCTTCTTCATGTGCAAATGTGGAGGTGGAGGAAGCCGTCGAATACGTGCAGAATGTCAAGGATACTTTGAGATTGATGAATGACGAAGGAACTTTTCAAAAGTTCCTGAAGATCATGGACGGCTTCAAGAAAGGACAGTTGGATATCACCGATGTTATAGTACGGGTCAAGTCTATCTTCAGTCACTATCCTCATTTGATTCTTGGGTTCAGAAGATTCCTTCCGGAAAGTACTCAATTTCTGATCAGTGTGGCAGCAGCACCTGCAGCCTGACTTCGGAGCACATATGGTTAAGAATTGAAGATGTTTCTTGACAAGTGATACGTTGTTCATTCTTGTCCGTACTTTAGCAGAGGAGTCTGGGTTTCACTTCACTAACTACGTCATTGTCCCAAGCGCAAAGGACAGAAGAGCCCGAAGAGTGGTGCAACAACGAGGGCATATCTATCATTGGTGGGCGGAAGGGACTAGAATAGACTGCTGCTTGGGGCCTATATTTGGGATCTGGAAGATTTCAGAAACTCTTTCACCGTGTTGTGGTGAAAGAGTTTCTGAAATGGGCGAGGGTGTGCAGCGGCAACCGCTGCTTATATTTCTCGTGGTTGTTGCATATGGTCGGCGAGCCAAATATTGTTGCATATATCAATATTGTTGCATATTGATGCGCTACGCCGCCGTCGACAAGGTGTCGTAAGGGAGTAGCGTAGTAGGTACAATGAAGATTAAGAACAGCTTTTAAAATTAGATTATGACTGACGGCGATGTCTTATTAGACATCGCGGTGGACATCGAGAGAAAATAGAAAAGTCGTGTTTCTCTTGTGATACTCGTACTCCCGCACCCTTTATAAAGAGCTACACGGGATTGCTCCCTGGTATTGTGCTTTGATCGAGCATGGGCTCCCCTCCGAACGCAGCGTGCGCTGCCTGCAAGTTCCAGCGTCGGAAATGCGCTGTGGACTGCTTGCTGGCGCCGTGGTTCCCTCCGGACCAGCACAGGCGCTTTGCCAACGCGCACAGGCTCTTCGGAGTGGCAAAAATATTGAGGTTGATACGAGAGAATCGGAGCTCCGTCCAGGATCTGATGATGAGTGTCTGCTTCGAGTCTGACGCTCGGGAACGAGATCCTGTCAGTGGAGAGTACGGGATATTACGACGTCTTCAGCGAGAGGCCGAGAGACTGGAGGAGAACATAACGGCTTTGTCCGAGAAGCTCAGGATACTGTTGGTAGAGGATGCTGCTGCCAACCATGTCAACAACGCACCTCATTCCCATTCTGCTTACAACGCCGTTCCTCCAGAGTATTACGCACATGCACGGCCTTCTCAGGTTGCAGAGACAACGCCAGCGCTGCAAGACAACTGTGGTTATCATATGCAGCAACAGAAGCTGCAGCATCAGCAGCCGCATCAACAACAGCAACATCTGCATTACATGCAGATGCCCCAACAGCAGCATCAACAACAGCAGCCGCATCAAAAACAGCAACAACTGCATTACATGCAGATGGCCCAGCAGCAGATGCTTTCTCTAGAGTATTTTGTTAATTTCAACGCCGTCGGTGGTGGAGGCTTTCCTCCGGTGCAAGCAACACACGCGTCGACCTCTCATCCACTTATGCACTTCTATCTGTGAGGTGCAGAAATGCCTCTTCATCGGGCCTCTTCTTCGTACACTGGAACAGCAGCGAGAAACTTTCTCTCCCTCACAAACAACTCTTACTCTTGCTTTTTTTTACTTCTGTTGTAATTGCAGATAATACAGAATCTGCAGCATACGTAGTTCCTTTTTTCTCCACAGCAATAGATCTATCGAGACGCACATGGAGTGTCTTCCCAGGATTTTTGTTTAGATAGCCCAGACGCACATGGAGTGTCTTCCCAAGATTTTTGTTTAGATAGCTCAGGTACATAATCGTTACTCCTCCACAGCAATAGATCTATCCAGACGCACATGGAGTGTCTTCCCAGGATTTTTGTTTAGATAGCTCATGTACATAATCGGTACTCCTCCACAGCTATAGATCTATCCACACGCGCATGCAGTGTCTTCCCAGGATTTTATATTTTATGACAAACTAATAAATAACGTGGCTGATTCAGTCGCCCGACACAAGGTGTTCTATATTACCGTGAGTATCAGGGCCTCGTGTAGGTGTGTACGATTGCAGATTCCTGGGCTGTGAGATCTGACTTTCGAAGACTTCAGCTCAGTTGTGTAGGAGTTATATCCGAATTATATATGTCGGATTGTAATAACCCACCAAAGGCTAAAACTGCAGTATGGTGGTAAAAAGATCGAACCCACAGGGACAGAGGCAACACACAGAGTAAAAGTGTCACATTTAACAGACTTTTGGTAGAGTTTGAATTCTAGGCGACTGTCACTCCCAGAAATACTGCAGTGCTCGACTCGGAGGCTCGACTCGGAGGAGGATCTCAACTCGGAGGATGCTCGGAGGATGCACGGTACAGCTTGGTCACTCAACACACACACACACACCTGAAACTGGCAAAAAGCACAACTCGGAGGTCGGTCAGGACCTCCGCTTTGGATTTCAGGAGGAAAGTGTCTCGCAAGTTCACTCAGAGGTTCTGCAGGAAGTGCCTCCCACTCCGGCTTTTACTGCCCTTCCGCCAGGAACTAGCGGGGGTACCCGGACTGGACTTCTCACTTCGGAACGAAGCCTCTACGTACGCCGTGGACGTCACCCTCGACTATCACACAAAACGCAGGGAGTGCAGACCCAACTGAGAACTTACTGAAAACACGATCCAGTAACACACACACAACCTGAATTACAAACCAAGGTTTACACGAAGTAATGAAACTTCACATTGGCATTCAGGGGAAACTTCCCGTAGGAGTACAATCAGGATATGTCACTCGAAGGAGTAAGGGGGAACTGTTCAAGTATCTAACTCGCAGCCGGCTCTGAGTATCAGAAATCACCCGCAGGTGCAGATCCGCACTACTCAAGTCTCTAACCGGGTGCGAGCTCTGAACATTCAGCCGAAGGCCTTCAACTACAACATACGGTAACTTCGCTATGCTGCAGCTTCTCTACGTGGTGCCAGGACCAAAATGCACAAACACGCCAAGAAAGTGAGTTCCTGATCTGCACTTCCGAAACTGGAAGAGTCCCAAGGCAAAACGCCTCGATCTACTTTATACTCTCAAAAGATCCTAACTAGCACTACGCTATCCTATCTACCACTCGCAGCATCTGCGCGGAACCAAACTACTCTACTGCACTCAGCAGATCCGGTGCTGCGCCTCCTGCGCGCCGGACTGCTCCGCGTACTATCTCTACCTTGCCAGTCTTCCGACCGGCTGCGTAACCCCAGGCGTCGGAGCGCTGCAGTGACTTCCGACTGCAAGTGCGCCATAGTGTCGCGCGCACCCGACAAGAAAGTTTCTAATTTTCTTGCCACTCGCCGCCGACTCCGACTGTCACCTTCCGTCAATGCCGCCGCCCGAAGCTCGAACTCCCTGAGTGTGATCCTCTCTTGAGCTGCCACCTCCCAATGGGTGTATCCGTTTAGACAACGAGTCACCCGTGCCGCCAACTCTCCTCGTGCCCTGCAGCTGCTCTCCACCTCTGCCAGCTGCATTTCTAAATCCGCACGTTGTGCCCTCAAATCCGAGCACTCGGTTTGCAAGCTGCACAACAACTCCTCATCCTCCTTGCGGGCTCTTTGACTTTCCTCTAAGGCGCGCGTCTGGCGCGCAAGCTCGGCTGCTAGGACGTTGTTCTGTCTCCGCTCCTCCTGCAGTTCCGACTCGATCTTTGCCCGTATTAGTTCGGCCTCCGCCTGACTCTTCGTCGCCGCATCCTCCTTCTGCTGCTGCAAGGCTTGGTACAGCTTTTGGGTGACCGCCAGGTGTTGTCGGAGGGCGGTGTTCCTATCCACATATACTCCGCATCTAGAGGCCCACCTTGCCACCTTGCTCCTCGTCCTTCGCCTGATTGTCTCCACATAAGACTGCGGTTTTAAGGCACTTGCGTATTTGGATGTCTTGCGATCCAGATATCGCAGGAGTGGAACTATCTGTTCGCACAGCACCCCTGTTGGCGTTTTCTGCACCGAATCCTCTTCTTGCTCTTCCGAGCTCGTCTCATCCTCAGTCTCGAGGATCTCAGTCGCCACCGAATCCCTTGGCGACTCCCTGGAACTGTGGCGCGCAGCAGCTTCCGCTGCGACTGCTGCTCCACTGCCTGCTAAAATATCCAGGGCAGTGGGAGATCCCACTGCTTGAGCCCCTGTTTCGGCTCGATCTTCGGTTTGTGAAGGGGTCGACGCCGCAGTGACTTTTGTCACTCTTGCACCGCCCGCTTCTGCTGCCTGTCCTTCCGGCGCAATCTGCGCGGAAGGTGTCCTTGCTGAAGGTGCGTCCGCTGAAGGCGTCCGCACACTGGTCGTTGGCTCCATACGTCTCGCAGTCGGCGAATCCGGCTGACTCTCTGTTGTCCGACTCGCAGTCGGCGAATCCGGCTGACTCTCTGTTGTCCGACTCGCAGTCGGCCGACCAGCAGTTGTCCGACTGGGAGTCGGATACACCCTGCGCGTCTTGACTCCACTTGGCCTGCTTGTTGGGGGCGTTCTTCCAGAAGTGCCTTCCGCCGAAGACGACCCTCTGAGGATTGTTGGCTCGTCAGCCAAACTCTCTTCTGCTTCCGGCCTGCTGTCCGGTTCAACGCGCCGTTCAGTTGGCCTTCCTTCCGCTTGCCGACCTTCAGTCATCCGACTCGCAGTCGGCCGGCTGTCAGTCCTTCCATCTCCTCCCGAAGGCCGTGGTGCCTTCTGTGCAGAGGTTTCTGCCGTCTTCCCTAGGACCTGAGCAATTATCTCTTCCTGTGTGAGATTCCGCCGGGTCGGAGTTCGCCTGGTCTCCTCAGTAACAGTTGGCATTCTGCGTGCCCTCTGTTTTGGTCGACTATGAGGCTCGGGGGTGGGCCGACCACGAGTCGGCGCAGCTGGTACTTCCGGCTGCCTGTCCTCAGGTCTCTCATCCCACTTCCGCTTGCGCGGAATGCGCTCACTTCGACGTTCTTCTGCTGCTCTGGCTGGAGCCGGAGCCGGAGGCGTACTGGCAGGTTCCTCGTCCGGATCCGTGTCTACTTCGGCCTCCCTCGAATATCTACCTGGATAAGACCGGCTCAGCTGCGGAAACCGAGTTTTCTCAGCATTCGTCAAACATCCCATCGCCCGGTAAAACACGATTAAGTAAGGCGATAGATGATTGAGCGTTCCTCCCCTCTCTTCTTGCGCATGTTGGCGCGTCACCTTCCACAGGAGCCGTGCCCAATGCACCGGAGCTCCTGACAACACTAGCTCCACGAACTCTACCTGCCAACCATGCATGTAAGCGGTCTTGGTCGGCTGCAATATCTGCAGCAATGCTGTCGCGACATTTCTCCGCAATCGATCCTTGTAATCCCGAGTCCGGAAACCGTTCTTGGGATGTCTAGCCACCTTGAAGAGCTCATTGTAAGAGACTTCTTCCTCCTGGGACACTTTCACGCTGTCGGCCTCGAAGAGGAGATCCCCTTCCTCGCCGGCACACCTGCCCAACACCTGTGCCCAATTGCAAATTTCCCATCTCTCTGGGTGTGGGCGAAATCCGCGAGAAGGCTTGTGTCTCTCTTGCAGATACTCGCGCACCATCTCCGGACACGTCCAATTCCACCCCCAGAGGAGAAAGTCGAGCTTCAGCCTCGTCAGCACATCTTGAAATGCGCGTAGACCGATCTGCGGCACCCTGAGTGGAGACACTCGCAGTTGGGGAACCTTCGACATTGCGTTGCCTGCACACACAAACGTTCTCCCTTTCGCTCACTCTCTCACAATCGCCACTGTGCTTCTGCCACTCAAGCACGGACTGCTCACTCTCTCTGCGCTCGTTCAAGGTCGCTACTCCCAATTCTTTCAAGGTCCGCCAAGATCCTTGTGCAACTCGTCTCCGCACTCTCTACTCTCACTGCAGGTCGCTCCGCCCTTGCGCGTAATCTTGGAACTGGAAATCGCAAAGTCAAGAATGAGAGAATGAGACTGGAGCGCAGTCTTTTCTTCTCCGATTTCAAGAACGTCCAACGTTCTTACTGGTTGCAACGTACGCAGCCGGCTATACGGCTTAACGGTTCGCCCTTTGCATGCGCGAATTCACGTCCCCGCATTGCGCGCATTCGCATGCTTAAACGTTGAATTCTCCCGCCGCCGCCACCTTCCGGACTCGAGTCCGCTGCAGGGTATACGTCGACCCTGTTGTCTTTTCCTAATCCGCCCTTCTCCGGAGGCGTGTCGCCGCTGGCGCGTTCATTATCCGTCGGCGCCTTGCTGGAGGCGCACATCCAGCCGGAGCGAATTACGCCGGCGCGCAGTCGTACCGCCTATTTTGTCCTTTATGCCTCGTCCGTTGCTGCCAGCGCATATCCGTCAGCGCAACTCATGCCAGCGCATCCGGCCGTCAGCGCCACGTCGGAGGCGTACATCCGACCGGCGCTTTCCTTCCATGAACAGCCGCCAAGGGCGCTTCCGACTCTGAGTTGGTTTCCTCCTGTGAGCGCGCGATTCCGCCGGAGGCGCATCGCCGAGGGCGTACGGGAATCCTTTCCGGCTGTGAACCCTAGCGCGAACGGCGCATGTCCGGCTACGAGTTTTCCGACGCTCATAACTTCTCCATTCCTGATCCATCTTCGGCGCTCTTGGACTCGTTAGAACGAGCGTCCCGAGCTCTTTCTAATGCAACTTCAACCAACTGGATCTACCGTGTATCCCGATTGTTATGAAGGTTTTCCCTTTCCGTGCTAGCGGCGCTTCGCCGAAGGCGCACTCATGGTCGGATGCCTTTAGAGGTCCGGGCCCTTCTCCTGACGTCTTTTAGCAAAACCTCCTCCTGAGGTGTCTGCGCCGGAAGCGTAGCTTCCTTATACGCTAGAGGCGCGTGAGTAGAGACACCTTAAAAAGGAGCTTTTGCCGAAGGCGCCGAAGACGTTGGCGTTGGTACATCCGACTACGTGATTCTTTGTGCCCTCGTGACGATCTCATCAATCCACTCTATTTAGCGTACCCTTCTCTAGCTACAAACACTGCTTTGGTACTAGTTTTCT